ATTTTGTTGAATGCCTTTTCTGCATCTATTGAGATGATCATATGGTTTTTGTCCTTGACTCTGTTAATGTAGTGTATTACATTTATTGATTTACATATGTTGAGTCATCCTTTCATCCCTGGAATAAATCTGACTTGGTTCAGGGTATGAACTTCTTTTGAAGTTTTATAAGTTTTATAAGCTGAAACTGTTTCCAACATCTTCCAAATAATCCACCCTCTCACTTGGGCCATGATGTATTGAGAACTGGTATAATTTATACCAAAGGGTGGAGTGGCAAGGAAGGCAAATGAAACAGCTGGAGTGCTTTGGCTAAATTGTTTAAAATGATTAATAGTGGTAGACATCAAACAGATTAACTCCTTTCTCTCCTATAGTCTACTGCTCTGTGCTTGGTAGTTCTTTCTGAATTCCCACCTTTTTCAAATTTTAGATACATTGACTCAGTTCTCCAGAATCATCTTCAAAAATTTCTGAGGGCATCTATGGTATTGTCTGCTAATCACATTTTTTTCTAGAAATTACATCACATATGCTTACCATCCTCCCAGCCCCAAAAAATAATTAGAGAGGGAAGTCTGCAGGTTCCCCTATTATCATTTTCCTTACCCTTGGACATTACATACTGGTCCCAGGATGAACTTAAATGGTATAGAGTCTGTATCAGAAAGATTTTAAACTACAAAACTTGTACCCTAAGTTATTTTTCACATAAAATAAAAGTCCAAAATTAGTACCCTAGTGTATCTCCTCAAGCATGTCATCAGAACCGAGGCTCCTTCTCTGTAATTTCTCTCCTAGTCTTTTCTGATAAACGAAATCATTTTTATTCCAGAGAAAGATGATATGGCTCACACTAATCATGTTACTAAGACATTTCTAAGGCATTTTTATAATAGGTTGAGGTATGGATAGTGCTGGGAACCAGAGGAAAAGGAGGCCTTTTGTACAGAGATACTAAGGATAGAGAAGGATGGAAACCTGGAACTAGAATACAGTTTTCTCAGGACCAGCTTTTGTGACTGCAAAATGTTCAAAATGGCCCATTGCTGTTTGACTTTGGTTCACCTTATGGATATTTGCAAGTTCAGAGCAATGAAGTGATTTCTTAAAGATTAAAGATGATCAGATAATGCGGATCAAGGCCTAATTGATCTTCTCTGCAGCCACAAAAGAAAAAAAAAACATCAAGCTGTGCCTCTTTTGGCAATGTGCAGTCATGCTAGCATGTT